TAACTTATAATGGAAAACAAGTAGATGATGCGCATTTCCATCCATACAAGTAGGTAGATATGCTGATTTAAACATCTTTCTTGTCTCAGGGCATAAAATGTGTCTGAAGGCTAACCAGCTACCCTAACAATGCCTGATGAATCACAGTTTGGGAGCATTAAGAACAGGCTTTTTTCTAAAGCAGCATATGTGAACACTTCTGGAGGCTGTATGCACATAAGATGGGCCAGTGACCTGATACATAACTCATGAGGCATATTGTTTGGTAGCGACAAGTATTACAAGCTTGAGGTTTATAAAATAACTTGTGATTCACTTCTGAAAAAATACCTTTAATATGCTTTCTACCAGTTTATAAACATTAGTAGAGATTTTCATAATCTTTTCCCACTGAGAAATTGGAAAAAACAGATGTGAACAATATTATTCAGGTGGCAGTATAGTCTGTTTCAAGGCATAACCTTTCAGACACAGCTTAACTATTGATCTATAAAGTCAGCATTTTGTTTCTTGCCATTCTCATCAGCTGAGAAGTAGCAGAGTGAATTTCCCAAATAAATTTAGATTACAGCACACTTCAGAAGGGATGTCACTGACTGAGAAGAAAGAGTTAACTATATTTTAATGTACATTTGTTGCTGTGGGTGCATTACATATTAAAATGTAGGTTCAGCCACATTCACCCAAATTCATCCTAGAGTGCACAGTGCAAGACCTCTATTTCTATGGTATTGAATTAAGACTTTCTGGTCAATCTGGAAGTATCCTAAGGCTTTCACCAATCTTTTAATTCCTGGATTATTTTCTCCTGCCTGAAGTTTCCCTTCTGCTTCCCTTTTGTTTGCTATTAATGCTTCATCTCTTCTGGGAGGGTGATTCACAGCTAATCAGCTCATCTATTCTGAGACATTCAAACCCACTGCTCTATGGACAGAGCAGCAGGCATTGCTGTAACCCTTGTGTGCTTAAACCCTTCTCTTTCCTTAGGGGCTTCACTGTCTCTGCTGCCCTGGAACTGTTCTACAATTACCACCAAACCATTGGGCCAGCTGCAGACATTAGTACCATCAACAGAACTGCAGAAAATGTAATTTGGGTTACCTAATGAGCAGCTTGTTTACATAAATAGACCTGCTAAAGTGGAGGACAAAAACACATTCTATAGCTTGGAACACAAACTAATATTAAGCAGATAGAGAGAAAAACTTCCTGCCCTTGAACAGGAATTTACATCGTGTTTAATATTTTTGTTTTCCCATTGTCTTTTAGTGCTTTCACATAGAAAACATCGTTTACATAATTTTGAACAAATATTTAAATATTCATTCTATAGTTAGTTGAAATTTTGAATGAATTCTTCATTTTATTATCACCATTGGGAAGGTACTAGGCATGTTCTGTATCCATGCCCTGCATTCTGGCATATATTCAATTTCGCTTGCTTGATATATACAACATAAAGTTAGAATGCACATACTTATTCCATACTGAGTGTCTGTTTTACCATTTAACTAGAAGAAATTCTGGTCACTCATCCTTTCCTCACCTTTCTGGTTTCCTCTCTCTCAGCATTACCAGATTTACAAGCTCACACTTGTTTTATTAGGCAGTCTTTTAAACTAGAGTTTCCAAAGACTGAACTTGTAGTGTTCACATTACCAGACCCACTAGTGTATCTTCAGTAGCAAGGGCAGAATCTTACCATTTGACATACATGTTTTCATTTTATTTTTATTAATTAAATTCATCTTTATCAACTGTGAGCTTGAGGTAGGTCATCCTCTTTGTCAAACATATTAACATACTGTTTTTCAGATTGATTATCTCATGCTTATCACATTGCCTATGTATTCCTGTTCAGAAGTTTTAGCATGCACCTGCACATTATCTAGGTTGAGAAACTGTCAATGAACAGGTATCAACATGGGTTTGCTATTAAAATTTCTTTCCTTAGGGGTCGGAAAATACGCTCATTAGAAATCAGTCACCTACAAAATAGATGTTTCACTGAGACATATTTCAAGGTAATTACCAAACACTAATTTTGCAAGCCATTTTTCCAGTCATTTGTTAGTTATCAGCCACTATTAGTTTATCCACCAACTCAGCTATCTAGTCCTCTCGGTCTAGTTCTTGAAATCCAATTTTTATACCTTGTTTTCTCCACACTGGGGTGAAAGATTGCTTCTTAATGATTCATTTACTCTGTGAGAGGGTTTAGGTTGCTCATTTGAACCACCTAGCATTTTATTCCTTAGTATGTCTGGTCTAAAGACTGTCAAATGTAAACCAGTACACTATTTGTGCATACTGTGCACTGTCCCCATTCATTAGATCTGTTCATATTAATAAGTTTACCAAATCTTTAGAAACACACTAAACAGAACAGAGCAAAACTGAAACTGTGAGTCTCTAGCTCTACCTCTTAAGTTTAACGTCAATCCGTTTTCCAAAAAGGGTGATGAAATTAAAGAAACTGTGTTAGCTACTCTTAAAATGTTGGGTTTTTCTTCCCCATATTGTTGAGTTATTTTACACTGCACCAGCATTGGAGTTACCAGCTTCCCTATTGTTTTGTTTATTACTGGCTGTGGGGATTTTTGCTCTTGTAACTCATTTTAATATTTCTATAAGCTTACCTTCAGTTGACAGTTATACATATGACCTTTAGTGTACTGGTTTATTTGAAAGGGAAGAATATCCTTGGTCTGAACACAGTAATTATGGTTAAAAAGCTATTTTATACCGATACGGGTATTTCTGTATGAGACAGGGAACTCCGATACAGATCACTTTTACATAATGCATGTCAGGGAGCAGCAAAGGCCACCCACACCCCAAAGAAGGCTACTCAGGAGCTGAGGGTGACCACAGCAGAGCCTGAGCAACGACCAGGCACAGCCCCACAGACACGCGCTGGGCAAGCACAGCAGGGGCACTGACAGCAACGAGTCCTCACGACAGGCTGGTGGCCATCAGACAAAACCAAGGTAATGGGTCGAAGGTCAGGCCAGGAAATCCAAACAGTAATTCAGGATCAGGGCTGGGTATGGGTACATCTAGACCACGGCTCAAGCACTGACTGAATGCTGAGGCCTGAGCTTGCCCACGGCTCCCAAGGCAGAGGCAGAGGGGGTGTGTGGAAGTACCTCATCTCGAGTACTCAAACTAGTGCTAGAAACACTCCTTCTCGTCTACCCAAACATTTCTCTGACTTACTATAACTGTGAATAAATGTTCCAGGACTTTTTGCATAAACGTTTACCATATCTGTATATATTACTTGAATCAATATGATTTCTCTTACTCAGCCTCTCTGGGGAGCAAATGGGCTGTAAAAGTATACGTCCTCTCTCTCTCCCATCTTTCCAGCTGACTAGATACCTCAGCCAAGCAGCTGGTTTCCACAGTGACCTGCAGTTCAGAGGTCTTTTAAAGCCAAATTTCCAACTTTTTTATTCCTCACTGCAGATCATCTCCAACTCTAAAAAGTTAGAAATCGTTCAATTATGCTAGAAATTGCCAAACCTCCCTGAAACCTTCCTGTAAAACATGTTTAATAAAATTTTTGGGTACCTGTTTGATCCTGTTTGTCAACTCCAATAAGGCATGTTTCAAAATCTGTCGTACTGCAATTTTTGAGTCAAGGTAAGCCTTGTTTTCAGCAGACTGCATCTCATCTCTCCTCCACTTCTTTCTGAAAAATCTCCAGTCCCCTTGATGACCTTACTTGGGCTTGTAGTTCTTTCTAGCCATCCTTTATTGCCCTTTCAGCAGCTTGGGTTTCTGTGACGATCAGTGCAAAGTGTTCTGTCACAGCTCTACAAGAACACCAGCTCACAGCCCCTCTCTCTGCCTTTCTACCTCCTGCAGCCCTTTGGCATCGGACACTTATTTCTGCCCAGGACTTCAGTCTGCTTCTTGCCACGCTGGCTGCTGGCCCCGTGGGGAGGGCTCACCTCTGTACAGAGCCTTCCAGGATGGACACTCCTGGTGTGGCTACCAGTCATCTGCTCTGGCTACCAGTCCCCACACGATCGCTACGGGCGGCCCTTTTCGGGGAGCGCCTGACGATCCGCTTCCCACTCACAGGGCGCGGGGTGCCCTGGCGGGCGGGGAGGCAGCTCTCCTCCGCGGCCGGCGGTGGGTCACCCACTCAGCCCCCTTTCCTGGCGCTCCTGCTCGGTCCGGCTCTTCGCCGCTCTTGAGCCGTTGAGGGGACCCGGCGGCTGAGGGCACCCGGCGGCTGAGGGTCGCCGCTCGCGCCGCCGCGAGCCACCCGCCTCAGGCGCCCTGAGGGGAGGCTGCTCGCGCGCGTTGCCACGCCAACCCCGCGGG